TGAGTTATGTCATCTCTTGCTGATGTCGCAAGCCGTTGCAGAAAGACGTTTCTGTGGCTAGTGTACTCACTTGAGTGTTGTTGTTGTTCTTGGGTTCCAGATGGTGATGCCATCCTCGTTGACAGTAATCCGTGCATTGTAAAAAGTTGTTTCTCGAGTAATCTTCATGTGTTGTTAACGTTTGTAAGTGTAATCTCTCTATAGTTGATACCTCGTGTCACTATGTGCGACTCAGATTGAATACCAGTATTACTGACCGTGTTCATTTCTTTTCCTCTGTGCTTGCAGTGAGAGATAGTAGATCCGTTCTCCCTTGCTCATATTGCGTGTTATAGCGTTACTTTTTTCAACAGGGGAGAGTCATCCACTCCACCGAGTTTGTTCATTCCTCCAGAAAGAAAGAACCGATTCCTTGTGGTCTGGTGTGATTTGATTCCTGCTCCAGGAAGATCTTACTCTGACTGTGAAGCCACCAGCACTCATGACTTTGTCATGAGTCAAGAATTACTGTATCAAACAGCCGAGTTGGGTACTCCAAGCATAAGAGTGTACCAATTAGTAAACAAACATCTGTGTGTTATGGTAGACCATTTCACCAGATATTGTGAGTTAGTTCCTATTGCAGATAAGACTGCCGAGACAGTAGCTAAAGCGTTTAAAGAACGCATTATCTGCAGGCATACCACCCCTAAGTCCTCAGTAACAGATAATGGAGGTGAATTCTGCAACGAGATTCTTGAAAATTTGTGTACCTTGTACAAAATCTCTAAGTCAAGCATTGTTCCCCAATATCCTGCGAGTAATGGTTTGGCAGAACGTACAAATAAGAAAGTACTAGATGTTTTGAGAGCCACTATCAACCCCAATAGTGAAACTTGGGATGAAGTTATACCAGATGTTCAATGTGCCATAAATTCTGCTTACAATGCTTCCATAGGTGACACTCCACATTATGCATTGTACGGTGTAGACAAGTGTTTACCTTATGAGTTGTTATATTCCACTCCGAAACCCAATTATAACCCTGATGATTTCATAGCAACTCGTACCAGCATAGCTCAAAGTGTTTTTAGAAGAATCCGTGAAACACTAATAGCCGTGCTAAGCCGACCAAAGTTAAAGCGAGTTCGAGGGTTATGCTGACTAATTTCAACAAAACATCCGCAATGCCTAAGCTCGATCAAAAGTTTGTTGGCCCTTATCGAGTAGTTGAACATATCAATGGCAATAAATATAAGGTTAGAGAAATTAGTACTGGTCAGTATAAAGAATCGCATTTAGATTATAGGAAATTAGTATGCGATGTCGAGGATGATAATTCTACCCAGACTAATGTGTCAGTCGCTGACAATCCACTTGACTCTGTACCCTCTACCTCTAATACTCGGCCAGATAATCAACCCGAATGACGTTATTCTTTGCGTACTCGACAAGTAATGAGAAATCCACAAGTATCTTTTGTAGATACTTGTTCAGATCGCCCTCAGTCAAGGCATGTGTTAGCCAATGCAGAAGAATTCGATCCACCCAAAGATGATAACCATTCTGCATATGTAAATCTTACCCTCGCAGAGTTGGCTTTAAATGTACATAGTCTGTATAATTAGATGTTCAAGATGAATGAAGTTGTCAACTGTGTGTTTTTATTAGCTGATCAGTTTTTTCAAAAAAAATTTTGTGTTCACGTTCCCTCCGAATTCTGAGAATTTAGCAGTAATGATCTGAGCGAGCCAGATCTGCCTTTGCTGTTAATTTACTTTCAACTTTGTAAATATATATTTATTCTTCCTCAGAATCCGTAGAGTGCATGAATACAGATCGATCGACCAATTCCATCCTTTATTATAATATAATTTGTACTTATAATTTGTAATGCATTATGTTAACACCCATTACGATACCATCCATCAGTTCTAAGTTACATATGTCTTTGCTATTGAACAGAATCAGCCCAGAGCGACCTGCCTGTTCAGCCTATAGCATAGTATTGTATGTCGAGACGACATACGTAACATGACCGAGCTGTCAGCGTAGTTGCTGATTCCCTACATGTGTTGTATAGCTTATCTGAGTATCATAGTTAGTACCATCCATATGTTTTACATACACGACCCCTTTGCTAGGCCTAGTGACTAGTTTGTGTGACGTCACATGACGCTGTTGTGAGCCCTTCGCGCTTGGGATCCTCCTCAGTTCTCCGTTATCCAAGCAGGCGACAGGACAGGCAGTTTGGGCTCTCCCTTCTCACACTCTGCAATACAGTGTTACCATCCAACAAGTTTGGAGAGATATATTGTGTATTTTTATACGTATATACTTCTAAACTGTTGTATCCTGGGCACCTCTGCAAAAACAGTGATTATGTGTGAGTGAGGTGAAAGTGTTGAATGATGATGAAAGTATTTTCTTTGAGTTTTTCTTTCTCTTTGGGTTACCCTGCCTCGGTGGGAGACGGCCGACTTGTTGAAAAAAAAAAAAATACAACAAGTGTGTTTATCTCCAACCTTCATATCTCCTACGAACCCCCACTACAGTATTCTCGTTTTCTTGGTTTCATTTGATAGAATGGAAGTTATATTACAGAAATTGAGATGATTCTGAATGGTTCTCGGACTAAAAGTACCTTGAAATTGAGCTCAAAGTAGGGAAATGCTCAATTTTTGCCCATGTTCAAGAGTGAACAGATGATGCCGCGCATCCAATACACATCAACTGGCGAGTTTAATATTCTTTCACAAATGCACTGATATTATTTATACCACTTTTACAATAATGCAGTAGTCTGCATAACAGTAAATCTTCTATTTTTTTGTGAATAAAAATTCAAACTGGAAAGCAACCATAATAAAAGACGGGCCTGGAGACATGACTAATGAACAGAGAAAATGTTATTTTAGTGCTAGGAATGTCTGCATTGTTTATTCTGGCCCTTATTTTGAAACTGGCCTGATGGTACTTAAAATGTGTATGAAATTGGCCAAATTACCATTTTCTGATCATTTTACTGGATAGTTGGAATCAGTAAATGAGCAGTTTCTTGTACTCAATCAATAGAACAAATGGAGTTCTAGTGAAATAGCTATGAGTTTGATCAACTGGAACAATGGAATTAGCTGAAAATAGGGGTCAAAGTGGGCAAAATCACCAATGCGTAAATATCGCCAAGACCTTTAACCCTTAAACGGTCCAAACGTATATATAAGTTCACTCGCGTAGCGCCCCAAATTTTTTGAGAGAAAAAATTGTCTTTTTTTAATAGAAAAAAAGAGCATATGATACCCAGGCATCCCCAATTATTTTAATATGGCACACAGTGAGTGTGCACACCCATTCTCTCATGTCTAGGTGACTCAGGCTTATCGTGGCAATGTTGAATGAATGACAAAGAAAACGTATAATTTGGGGCGCTACGCACATGAACGTATATATACGTTTGGACCGTTTAAGGGTTAACTTTGCGAGAGAGTAATTCAATAAGTTTTCCATCAAATTTCATACTTTTGGTGTCATTACCATTGGGAAAAGATTCTCTATCATTTCATAAGAAAAAATTTTTTTTTTTTTTTTTTTATCATTTTTTGACACTGAGAGAAAGTTTGTGAGTAGGGGTCTCTCGACAGTGAAAGGGTTAAAACTATCCCACCCCTCTTCAACCCCCACACTACCTATACTCACATTAGCCACCTTTCTGCCAATAACTTCCTCCTCAGTTTATAAACTATCACCTCTCTCTTACTTGCTGTTGCCATTTTCTGATTGCCCCATCTACCCCTTACTCTAACTGTAGCTACAACTAAATAACGATCTAATATATCTGTTGTCCCTCTATACACATGCACATCCTGAGGCCTACCCATCAACCTTTTATCAACCAATACATAATCTAACAAACTATTTATGTTACATGCTATATCATATCTTGTATATTTATTTATCCTCTTTTTTTTTCATAAAACATGTTTTTTTTTTTTTCAACAAGTCGGCCGTCTCCCACCGAGGTAGGGTGACCCAAAAAAGAAAGAAAATCCCCAAAAAGAAAATACTTTCATCATCATTCAACACTTTCACCACACTTACCCATTATCACTGTTTTTGCAGAGGTGCTCAGAATACAACAGTTTAGAAGCATATATGTATAAAGCTACACAACATATGTATTACTTTATATTCTCTTAACAATAAATAGGCTTTCAAATGAGCTGATGTAGGTAACAGCTTTTAGCTTGTTAAAAAAGTTAGGAACCATAAACCTAAACTTGTAGAACCCCGTGTAAAAAAAAAAATATAAAGATTAAGAAAATTAGAGAGAAAAAGAGAGAGATACATATGCTATCTGCCCCTACACACATCAAAGCTTCCTACACTACACTTAACCACAACAGTGGGGAAGTGGAAAACACATGCCAAGTAAAGATGCAATGATACCAAAATTTTTGTCGATACCAACACCAATACTCAATTTTTGGCCAACACCGATATCATCAAACATCGTTGATACCCACTGATACTGGCAACAATACTGATACCTGCTGATATTCAATTTTAGGATGATGATGATACCACTAAAATTAGCTGATATCAATACTGTGGCACACCCCTAGTATAGTTAGGTATGACATGAGAGGGTGTGAGTAAACACAACTGAGTGAGACAAAAAGGGAGAGTGCAGCTGCTGTCCACAATTATATATCTGTGCTGTATACTGTAGTGTAACTGCTCTATTTAATTAGCATGTATACTTCAATCACACAAAGTTTAGTATTGAATGTAAAATGCTGGGTAAATATTCTTAGTTTTAAAAATCAGATACTGAATGTTACAGCTCTGTATTTCCAATTATAACACTGCTGTCTCTGGAAAAATACTTTCCGAGTTCTGAATACTCGACTCGACAACAACTTTGAGAAACACATTAACGTCATGAATGATGGGGTGGGAGTGGGGATACCTACTGTATAGGGATTCTTGGATCAAACAGAAAGGTCAATTTCTCAACATACCAGACGTTGTAAAAGTGCTTTCACAAAACTTGCATCGGTGAGGTTTAATGCCCGTGTGTGTGTTTACATGATTTTGAAGCGATGCTAAAGTTTTGAATCCTCTTTCACAGACAGAACATTTATGTGGCCGCTCCTCACTGTGAGACTTCATATGTCTTGAAAGTAAGTATCTGAAGAATAACACAAATTTACAACAAATCAATAACACACAAAAGCATAATTTCCCTCATTAGGCCTAGAAAAGCTGATAAACTCAATACTGTATGTATGGCCTAATGACCAGATGACCTCCAAAAATCTCTACCATATTTCTAAATTCATTCAGAATTCTTAATTATTATATTACGATGTATAATAAATTTATCTTCTCCGCATATTCCTTAGCTTTCTCATTCTAAGAGACTGAATGCAACATTTAATACAAGAATACAATACATCTGAGCAACACTAAATTTTTTACTACAGAGACTGTTTTCCCACAAAGGTCCAAGCTAATTTTATACCTAATTAATGACAATTCAACTATAGGAATAACATCCCCATTATTCTCTCTCTAAAGTATTTGAACTTTCTATCAATGGGCATTTTATTTAAATAGGATAATCATTAAACTAAACTTGATGTGTTTCAGTTGCTGCACAATCCAAGAGATTTCCTATAGACGAAAACACCAGCCCTTTGACTATCTGTGCATACAAGAGGGTCTAATACAGGGTGTAACTTAGGGTTCTAATTTTCTATTCATCCAGTAATGCAATGAAACTTTAAAAAAGGGGTGGAAACACTGCTCACAATGGAATGTCCATTAATTACTAGGTAGTCAACTCACTAATACACAAAGTGTATTAAGAACTAGTTGCAAAATCAGTGTAGTCAAATACATTAAAAAAAAAAAATCTCAGTAAAGCAACTTTAACTGCACCCTGTAATTAAGCAATAAAATAAGAAAAACTTTCATTATTTTTCAGTTTACTTCTTCTAATGATATTTGGCATTAATTTTCTATAATCCTGAAAGAAAACAGTCATTTTTTATTAAATAAAAAGAATATGCCAAATCTGGGACGTTCGGTGATTTTTTCAATTTGCAGGGAAATAAGGAAAATTTGTCAAAACATCACCAGGCCATAAAAAGTAAGTTTTCATTACTTTTCAGCTATATTTTGATAGTGACACTATTTTAAATGTTCTATAATCCAGTAGGAAACATTGTAGTTTCATTAAAAAACTGGCATGAGCATTCTTGGCCCACAACAGCCAGCCACAAGCCACAACTTAAAAATTAAAATAAAATTGAGCTAACTGGCACCTACACAAACAAGTAACAATCCAAATCATGGGCCCTCAAAGGGTTAACCCTTTGAGGGTTCAAGCCATAGATCTACGCCTTGTCCACAGGGTCTGAGCCGTAGTTCTATGTCATGAGCTCAGCTTACTCAGATAAGCTGTGAGCAGTAAATTTGGGCCTAGATATGAGAGAATGGCTCTATGTGGTAAGTGTGCACCATATAAAACAAATCTTGCAGCATGCAGTGCATAATGAGAAAAAATAAAACTGCGACAGTGTTTTTGGATTAAAGCACCAACATTGCAGTGTATTTTATTGTTTTTATGGGTCTATTTATAGTTTTTGGTCTCATTTGATGGAATAGAAGATATATTACAGAAATAGAGATGATTTAGATTCGTTTTAGTATTGAAAACAGCTTGAAATTGAGTCAAAGTAGCAAAAATGTTTGATTTTGCCAAAGCTCAAGAGTAAACAAATGACATCAAGCGTCCAATACATGTCAACTCGTGGGTCTAATTTATGTTCATGAATGAAAAACTAATGGTTTGCTTACTTGGCAATGCTCATTTTTCATATATTGTCAGTCATTTAAAATTGCACACATTTCTTAGGACAGTATGTGTGGATTAAATACTAAGAAACAGTTGCAGTCTTTATCATGTGTTCAGGTTGTTTGAACTTTTAACCAAAACACTGTCCCAGTGTACATGTAATATTTTCCTAAAAATGATAAGTTTATTTAACCCTTTCGGGGTTTCGGCCTTACTAGTACGGCTTACGTGCCAGTGTTTTTGACGTACTAGTATGCATAAATTCTAGCGCCTTCAAATCTCGCGGGAAAAGGGTGGTGGCCCCTAGGTGGAGGAATGGGTGTGTGTGGTTGGTGTGCGCGAGAAAAAAGCCCGGGGGACCCAGTGGGCCCCCTTGTGGGAATCCCCATTTTAGAGACCTGTTCCCACCACCCCTGCGGTAAGAAGCCCTCACCCCTCGGCAAATTGGGGACCTTTTTTTCCCCCAGGACAGTTCAAATACGATGGAATCCAGTGAAGTAGTTTAAGGTTTTCGTGGGTTTGTGCCCAAAAACTAATACCAAAATATCGGTAATAGTGGGGAAAAAACCCAGACGACCCTCACCCTTTCCCACCTTTGCTGTGGGCCATCTTGTTACATTCATTTGTACCAGAACAAAGAGGAAACCCCATTTTTCTAAAAAACCCAGACTAGATGTGGCATGGGAGATAGTGAAGTGAATATGAACTACAAGCTCTTGAAACCATTCCCTGTAGTGATGTAAAGTGGAATATTTCCATGAAGTGTCAGTATATACGAGATTAGCATCTGGTGTGTGTACATGCTTTTCCAAAGGGGAAGGAGAAAATCCGTGGCTTACATGGGAACAGACAGTGAAATGACGATGATAGTGTTGAAATTTTGGGATGGAAAAAGTGCATGGGGTGGTAGTGGTGGTCCCGGGCCGGGGGCCAAAAGCATGGGCCTTTACTCCCACCCACCTGTTGCCTCAGCGGGTCTACAAAAAAGGCCCCCTTCCCCACCCCCACCCCCCCACACCAGCCTCCCAAAAACACAACACCTGTCTTTGCCCTATCCACCAGCGCCCGCCCCGGGGTTTGGCGGAAGCTGTCAATTTTTTTCCCAAACCCCCCCAGTTTTGATGAAAGCCAAAGTGGAATACAGCCCTGTTGTACATGGGAAAAATGCCATTTAACTGGAATTTTCGAGTTTTTCTTTTACGAAACCCCGAGGAAATTATTGTTTGGGGAAAGGAACAGAACTCGAGTACACCATAGCAAAACTTACTTTCCCAAAAAAACGTCTACACCCTGGAAAGACAATGTGGGTGAGTGTATCTTTTTTTGCCCAAAAAGCTTAGCCCCATGTGTATAAGCCAGGGTGAATCATATGGTCAACAACCCCTGATTGCAACCCCCGGTTTCAGTGTATAATGGGATGAATCGATTTGTATTACTGTTTCGTTTTTCTTTACTTTCAGGGAAACCAGGGCCAAAAGAAAAGCAGGTTTATAGATTAAGAATGTTTTTGTACTGAAAGAGAAATTTAAATTATTTTTATCCCTTCGGAACTTGTAATTGTGAGTCTTTGATTCTGTTCAAAGGAAACTCTCTTTCAAGCATATATACCAAACAAGAGGAAACGTTTGGTATAAAGTTGTTTTTGCTTTGTAAATTGTTCAGTGGTCGGTATTGGATATTTTTGTGCACACTGGAATTAACATTGCAAAATACCAGGGGAAGTTATTGGATTTGGGATGTGGTTTTTAAACAAAGATAGAACTTAATTGGTAAGGGGCAATTTTTATATACTATAGCTGGTACAAGTCAGCATAGTTTCTGATCCCTGTGTTAATAGCTAGCATATTAGTATATCCATGTGCTTTAACGGAGTCCCTTTTTGGCCGTGACTTTGTGTGACGTACGGGATGCGATGGTACCTCGTATCTGCCCCAGTCTCACAGCGGTGACCATCCAGGCTAGTAAACGGCAAGGGGGGCTCCCCTCTCCCCTCAACTCAGTCTGAAAATATATGTTTCCATCCCAAAAAGTGTGTTACCTTCAACCCCCGATCTCTCCATTTTAGAACCCCTACGATACACAAGCCCATCACTCAGTGATTTTTTGCGAGTGAACATGACAAATGTATGTGGCACAGTGTGTGCAAATCATAAGCACATGCCCAGGTTTGACGCTGGCACTTGTAGAGGCGAGGTGCAGGCGTTTGCTGCCAATGACATCATGGCATTTCGGTGGCATGACAAATGAGATGTCACACTGTTGTCATCAGTTCACCCTAATGAAATGGCAGACAGTGGCAGGCAGCATAGAGAAAGCAATGAACCCATTCTAAAACCTACAGCTGTGGTTGATTACACCCTCAATATGCGCTCAGTGGAAAAATGTGACATGCAGAATGGGTTTGCTGACTGTGTTCACAAGTTATAAGTGGTACAAAAAACTCTTTTTCCATCTTCTGGACATTTCCATGCTCAATGCTTATATGTATAAGATGAGGACCAGACACAAACCATCATGTGGCGAATTCTGTTTGTCTGTCATCAGACAAATAGTATTCAAGTACCAAGGAACAACACCTGCAATAGACCACCCACTAAATTATCAACAACTACCTTCTCGTCTGAAACATGGTGATCACTCCCTAGTAAAACTGCCTGCTACTGCTTTCAAGAAAAAGGCTCAGAAGAGGTGTTACGTCTATGCACATATAAAAAAAATGCCCACAACACAGAGACACTCGTTTTATGTGTGAGGAGCGTAAAACACCACTGTGCATGACACCATGTTTCAAAGACTTCCACAAGCTGCAGAACATTCCCTGTGACTGTATATGTGTATAAAAAATATAGAAAAATAGTAATAAACAACATTTTATATCGTTTGTGCGTGAAAACAATAATTATAAACAATACAAGGACAACAGTGTTTGTGGAGTTATTTTGTAGTAAATAAAGAGAAAACTTATAAAATAGTGCTAATATTGGTCTCACAGGCCATAAAAGTAACTTGGAAAAAAAAATTAAAAAATAATAGAAAATACAGTGGACCCCCGGTTAACGATTTTAATCCGTGCAAGAGGGGTAATTGTTATGCGAAATAATCGTTATGTGAATTAATTTTCCCCATAAGAAATAATGGAAATAAAATTAATCCGTGCAAGACACCCAAAAGTATGAAAAAAAAAATTTTTTACCACATGAAATATTAATTTTAATACACACAAACTGAAAAAGGCATGCACACTTACATGACACTTACTTTTATTGAAGATCTGGTGATGATTGATGGGATGGGAGGAGGGGAGAGCATTATCTTCTTACTGTTTAGAAGGGGAATCCCCTTCCATTACGA